CTTGCGTATGTACGTTCTGTTCGGTCCGGCTCGCTTAGGTCTGTCTGTTGATAATATCATTGATAGCTTTTGCCACAATTTGTAACCACAATAAGTTGTTGCTGGTCACAGTTGGAGCGGCAAAAAAGGGCTATGCGTGCGCCTGTGTGTGGCGAATGGCAACTGGAAATTGGAAATTTTAAGCTGCCTTTATCTGCTGAATGGCTTGTTGATTATTACCGAAGCTGGCAAATGGATTTGCAGTTGCTTCATTTGTGGAAATTAATGAACCAATACACCTGACTGGCATTGTCTGGCTGCGTTGTTGAATTTGAGGTGCAATTGGCTCCCAAAGACAATACCAACTGTGAGGATAAAAAACAAGTTTGTCGAGAACTTAAAAATAGAGAATATAAGAATATAAAAAGAAAAATAACAATTCGTTAATCAAATACCTTCTCATAATATAATATATTGTAAATATATAAACGGCACTTTTCAGGGCCCAAAACTAGAACTACTTGACCAAAAAGTCTATTTATTTAAACGTTGAAACAATATATCCAAACCCGGTACATTAAGCTAAAGCGATAAAAACAAAAACTCGCCAGGACCAACCAGCGAGTTTGAAAACTAAAAAGTGTCGCAATTGTTGTGACTTAAAACTGGTTACAATTGTTTAACTTTGGTCAATAATATCACCTGTGCCAGCTGGCCCAGAACTACATAAAAGTGCCTTTAGTAGAAAAAAAAATACAACTAAAAAACGCAGGAGTCAGAAGGATTCGAGCAAAGTGGCAACTGGTACGGTGATGCAACAAGTACAAAACTGCACGTACTTACCATTTACTAAGTATTTTCTATGACTTTGTGCCATTGTTTTTCTGTTTCTGGGGTTTTTATTCTTTTAGAGGTTTACTCGAGCATTAAACAAGTGGAAATAGCAAAAGGGGGAAAGAGTCCGACCCAAGCAAGCCCAGCTGTCTAGGAACAATTGTCAACGGAGAGCATTGTTTTGTTTACAACGTGAAACTTTTGTACTTAGCTCAGGCTTTGCCAAGGAGCATTACAATGAATTTCCTAAACAGCTGAGCAATGCGGCTACTTTGCGCAACAATCACTATTTGTTTTATATCAACACCTCAAAAAAGTTAAAATATTTGTAGACTGATATTAAGCACTGGAAAGTATACTCCGAATAAGGCCAGTATATATATAGCATTAAACTTAAAATCCGAATTTTTATATAAAAAATAGAATTCAAAATGAAATAGAATATAAATTGAAAGGGCTAGTTTATGAAAGTACAAAACCGATTTTCTTAATATTATATTTTTCGTTCGTCTCACTTGAAAAACTTTAATATGTTCGTTTTGAGCATAAGCAATGCAAACACACATAAGCTTTAATTAAGTCAAACGCGTTAAAATTGTGTGCTGAACCTTGCGTTGCCCCCCGAAAAAAACTTTTCGCGTCTGTTCTGCGGATGGCAATATTTTGAAAACGATAACTGACAGTTGAGCGGAGTCTAATGGATGCGAGGGGTAGAGATTGTCATTAAAACGTTTCCGTTTCCACCCAACAACATCAGGAGCGCCCATTGTCAGTCGCCGCTGCTAATCAGAGATGATGCCAAAAGGTATTCATATGCAAAACAGAGAGACACGACGCCCACATTATTCATTGAAAATGGCAAACGGAAGGGATACCGTTCCTGTTTTGGGAATGGGTCCAAACTTTAGCGGCGCTTAAGGTAAAATATAATCAAAAGCCGTGAAAACATTTTTACACGTCATTAAACTCAAATTCAACAAACCATGGCAGCGTATGTTACAGCATCCCACGGATCGCACACACACCTTCATATAGAATCAAATGCCTGGCGGCGGATCATACATACACCCATACGTATACACCCCCCACAAGAAGACTTTTCGTTCAACCTTGCAGAAGATTGATGTGCCTCAATTACATAAATAAATTAAAGCTTCAGCCAAGTTCACGGGAAATATTTTCGGGCTTATCGACAATGGTCCTGCAGCAAGTTTTAGAGGAAAACCTGTAATTAACGTGTAATGATTGCAGTAAACACACACGTACCACCCACACCCCGGCGACACTTATGAATAATGACTTTGCGACAAGTTTCATGAAAGTTTCCAATGACGTTAGTGTATGTCTATGTACAAATTGAATTTAATTGCACAGAATAAAATAATTATTTCACAGTCGAGTATTTGAGAAAATCAATAAAATTTGATTTTCCTTTTAAAGAACAAAACCCTGGGGCAAGGTCCAGTCGGCTCTTGATCCATAAGCCTTTGAATTATTAATTTTTAAGCTTTTGCGCAGCACAAAAAGAGTGACCCAAGGGCCTTTGATTTGGCCTGTGGGTCAGTGAAGCTCAAGTAATAGGGTGGTGCGAGGGTGGTGCTCCAGTCCTATCCCTCATATGTGCTTCCACGCTTGAGTGCGCTTTTCAGACCCAAGTAGCTGAAGGGCAACATTATTAAAAAGTCCGAGAGGGAAACCTCAGCAAAAAGATAACAACATATTGATTGAAAATCACATGCATAATGCATTAATTTTGCAAACCATTTCGCTGCTTTCGTGGGAGACTCTGCATTCGACGATTCTGACTCCAAAAATTTCAAAAATAACACAAAGCTGATTATGTATCCTACCCAGACAGGCAATTTGTCCACCTGCCAGAAGCAGAATGATTTAAAAAATAAAACATAAATAATGAAAATGAAACCTAAAAAAAATTCAAAAACAGACCAAAACGTTTGCTCCAGGCTTTCTGACAAACGAAATAAAGAGAAAGGTTACTAACTGACAGATTTCCTCCCTGGTTGCATTATTTTCTTTTGAATTTTTTTCAGGCTGTCATATGAAATTATGTATTCTGCCCTTATCAATTGGTATTAAGATATTTACAAGCAATTTAAAGTTTCTGTTAAGCTATTTTTGTTAAAATTGTATTAATTACACTTCACTTAATGTGTATGGTAATTTATCCAAATGGTGTTTTAAAAATTCATTTTATATAAAATCTAGGCATTCTGCTGGATTTATGCCATCGGAATCTTTAAAACTACATTTGTATATAATAATGATCCACTTTCAATAGATTTAAAGGGTATTTTAGAATCCGGTCTAGACAGCTTTGTTGTTTTACCATTTGATTGACATTAAATTACGTCAATCGGAATCAGCTCAGTTCACTTTCCACTTTTAACATAATTGACTATAATGTTTTGACAAATTAATTAGGGGCAGCTAAATTAATTTAAATGCAAAAATGTTCAATGGAGACCACTGCCATACATTAGCTAATTACCAATTGACTTTATCAGTTTGGTTGCCTGTAGTATTGTGTACTGTTTGCTCATTGGCCTTGTCCTCGGTTTTCCTGCGGTAAAATATTTCGTTGAAAACCTTTGCGTTTTATACTCAGACTAGAACTCAGACGAAATCCATATTTTGGTAAACTGATTACATGCAAATAAAAAGAAAGAAAGAAGCTTCACTGCATCGCAAGCTTCTGACTAAAATTATAATACTCTCTGAAAGGGTAAAAACGAGCTTAGTTTTACTCTTATACAAGTATATTTAATATTTATATTTATATTTATTTAGAGTTAAAGAATTCGGTGCCATAATGATTAGGGATGCCGACTTTGAGGCCATAAAATTTGACCAATTGTTTAGTTTTCCGAAAAGTTTTTTATTTCTAATTCGATATGAAACAATAAATAAGGGCACTGCCACTGACTGCCCTAATTAGCCAGAAAATATATTATTATAATTTCATGATTCGGGGCCAAACAAAAAGATCACTCGTAGTCGGGTGAAGATAAGAAAAAAGTGCTGCCTGCGCATTTGTTCAATTTTGCATTTGTGATGCATCATTTAATTTATATACATTACGCTGGCATATGCAAATATTATTTGGGAACTGCTGCAGCTGGCCAACGGTATTGTTTGAGAATCTCTGTTTATCGCTGCCATAATATTGGTTTAATTTTTTTTGTAGTTTTCAGTTACCCAAATTAGCAAGCCAAATTTTGTGCTAATGACGGGTCAGCAAGTTTTTCTTCTAATAATGGAGTTGCTGCCAATTAACACGCCATGCACACACAGAAGCCCATTTGAACCCGCACATGCAGAAGACCGAAACAGATTTCCGTTTCCGTTTTGAATTATTCGCTTCATGGAAGGAGTCGTGATGACGTCGTCGCCACACATAAATTATTGCAAATTGTTTGCATTTAATTGCATGGCTTAGTTGGTGTGTCCTTGCTCATTGTTATGCATAATTCATGGGGGCGAGTGGGGTGGTCTTCTCGGTAGTTTGATGCATTCGCTCTAATTAACTGCAACTCATCAGCTCGTTTATCGGATAGCCTAGCAGTCATCCTGTTGATATAAGGTGTGAGGAATGGCTTACCCAGTGGTGATGCCACTGTCCCAGAGATGACAAATGGGTTGTTGGAAGGTTCTACAGGAAGAATCCTGTACTCAATTATACCTAGGGCTTTTCAACGATTTTTTTTAAATACATATGGACTCTTTTATTTGTTGTCAAAATAATACATAACACTATGCAACAATAAAATTGTACCCCGATGGATGCATTTTTTTAATTCGTTACGAATTCCCAAGTCAAACTGCCAAAAAGTTTTAAAAGTAGTAGTAGTGTTACCGCCTTGTGTTTTTATTTATCTTCTCCTGGTAATATTGTACTAGAAAAACCACTGATTTTCTGCACGTAAGTTGGTAAGAAATCACGGGTCAAGACTATTACCAAAAAAGATTTTTGGGAGATGCAAACTGACATTTCTTCCCAAAAATCAACAGAACTTAAAATTTCAAATTGTATACTGAATGATACCTGTCCACTGTAGTCCACAAAGCGATCAATGTCAACATGTCAAACACTAAACAATATTTACTTAGTAACAATCCCGGACTCATATGTATATAAATTACAATCAAACAGCAGGCCAGTTAACGGACATTCCTATTTGCATATATTCTACTTTGGCTCGGAAAAATTAACTGCTCTATTTGATACCACAATGAGTTTCCAAAACTCGGGTTGTGATCAGAGCAGCGATACGGAGCACGTCTACGGTTGGATCACCGATCTGTGCAATAAGGAGACTCGCTTTTTGGCCATGTTGGAGCTATGGGAAAGACGCAGCCACATTGACAGCCTGGGTCCCTTGCTCTGGCATTCCTTTGGAGCCGTAAGTGGTTTGCTGCAAGAGGTTGTTTCAATCTACCCGACAATCTACACGGACAACGAACTGAACGGTCAGCAGTCGCACCGCATTTGCGCAGCCATTGGACTGATCCAGACCATGGCCTCACATCCCTTTGTCGGTATTCAGCTGATGCGCTGCCAATTCATGTGTTATTTGATGCCGTTGCTTAAGATGACCTCACAATCTCGGGCCGCTGAGCATGTTCGCCTCTCCGTTCTGGGCGTCATCTGCGGTCTACTGAAATCGGACCATCCAGAGATCGTTGGCTACTTCCTGGGCACTGAATTGATTCCACTTATTTTGCGTCAGCTGGAGCTGGGTACCAGTATGAGTAAGGTTCTCTGCGCATTTGTCTTGTACCGCATCTTAGAACACGACGTAGGCTTGAAGTTTGCCAGTCGAAGGTTGGCTCGTAGACTTCATCTGATCCACACCCTGGCCAGAGTTGTCCACCAACTGACCCTGGAACCGGGTCCTCACCTCAAGCATGTGGTGAGGATATATTCCCGCCTGGCTGACCATCCCCAGAGTCTGGAGCTGATCCTTAAGCTCTTGCCGGCGCAGATTCGAAACGGCTATTTCTGCCAGGAGAGTCTGCCGGGCTATGAGAGCGCTTCACTGGAGCTGGCTGATCTCAACCGTAAGCTGAATGACAAGAACGTGAAAAAAGACCTATGTAAGAGCCTCAAAAAACTAGAAGGGTCTTTACTTACTTCTTTCTTTCTTTCAGCTCATGAGGAATAACGCACTGAAGGGATACAATTACGCTGAAATTCACACCTCGACCTTTTTAATCCACCTAATTGGCCCTACCAATATACACACATGGCCAGCCATCCAGATACTTTATGTCATGCCAAGGGTTCAAACTGTATATTCCATTACTTTTTCTTCCGGACAACTTTGGTTGGAGCATTTGAATCGGTTTTCTGGGAGCATCAAGATTGCGTAATGCAATAAACAGCTCGTAAATATTTTGATACCAATTTTCCACCGTAATCGACTCGACGGTACTTTGAATGTCAAACAATAAATTCAATTACCAATCCATAGCCCCAAAAATAAAAGCCTTTCCCGTTTTTCTAACCCTCTGCAGCATTTGGCAGTCACCCTCAACCCTTCCATCCACGTGCAATGGATCGGCCTTTGACATGGATACTCCAAACGATATTCGAATGAACAAAAGGTTGGAGCAAAGGCTTGAGCTGGGATACTGCTGGTGTTGTTAGCCAAAGCAAGCGGAAAATCAACGCACAAGGCGAAAGGAAGAGCATTACGAAAAAAAGTAAAGAGCTAACATAAGCCCAAAAAAAAAAGGTTAAGCCATTTCACATAATAACATTTCATTCCTGATCTTACACACCTAAACTTAAAACAGTACTTTTTAATTGTCCCTATTAGGTTAAAATAAAAGATTTAACTCTAAATAAGTTATTGATACGATTCATTAAAGTATTTTGATTATAGGTATATATAAATCTTTTCCAGTAGTCCAAAGCCCCATGTCAAACAAAAAGGGAATGTAAAGTTAGGCACCCCAAAGACATTTGGTGGTTCGTTTACAGGTCACAAATTGAAATCTATAATAATTTCAGCTTGACGGCTGGCGAAAGCTCAGTGTTTATCGAGGGCAGAAAGAAAGTATGGAAAATGGGTGAAACAGGGAAACAACAGCCAGTTCTGAGGGCAACAACAATGACAGTCAAACAATGCAAATCAATTTAAATTTCCATCTCACACACGACGCAGCGGGTCAGTAAAGCAACCGCAATCTCTTACCAAATTGTTTCGAGGGCTGCCGCTGCCTTTTTCCCTCTGCATTGGCTTTACCACGCAACTCAATCATAAGTAAATATCTGCCTCGCACACACGCACGTTGAAATAAATAAAAATATAAATAGGCGGAGGGAAAAGGCGAAGCTTATTATGCCCCCGGGTAAAATGTAAACGGAATGTGGAGGAGCGGAGACAAGTAGCGGGTTGGCAGGCGAGACACGTTCTAATAGATTTTTCCAGCCTCTCGCCTTTTGACGCTTGGCAGGCCGTACAAGTTACACATGTTGCTTTTGTTTGGCTTCCTGTCACACACAAAGATGAAAAAAGGAATCTCCCGCATACACATGTACGTGCACTAGGAAAATTTCCAGTTTTAAGTTCGTTGTTGATCCTCTGAAATGTTTTAGAACCAAGTTTAAAATTTATGTTTTTAGTCGTTATAATAATGGCAGATCGTCTAGAATTTAACCAGAAATGGTTCAGATTCTCTTTTTTTCCAGTGTGCTGAACTTACCAAGCACACCATTTGACAAGGCTTGAGTTGTGCCTCAATTTGATGCCGTAAATCCTTTATTCAATTTTTTGCCGCGATAACCGTGTCACAGTTTCAAATGCGAAAAAAGGATTTTAGGCCACAAATCGGTATTGATTAGGCAGCCGGATAAGGCAGTATGCGTACAGCCCATAAGTCTGGCACACGTACATACATATATGCGCATCAATCTATGCAAATTGCTTGCAATTGACTGGCAAGCAAATCCGAAAATTATGCCATCGGCGCTCCACGGACAACAATGAGCGATGAACGATGAACGGAGCCTCCGCCAACTGGCAATCGCAATCGAAGATGCTGCTATTGACAGGGGTGGCGCCTGACAAAGATGGCCAGCGGGTGGTGGAAGGTGGGAGGAGCAGGAAGAGAGCCAGAGCCGGAAGCTGGCACACAACTAATTGGACATCCGTTGGCCCCGGCGATTATCGACTTTGAACCGAGGCAAGGGCAAGGTAAAGGTAACTCAAGTATTCTTTTCTGCCGCCACGTTCTCTCCCACAGTTCCGTAGTAAGTTGTGCGCTGCGTTATTAACACCAGGCTGAGTTAAGGGCAGGGAGATGTGGAAAGGGAACTCTGGCTAAAGGTCGCCATGGCTGTCAGTTGACGGTGAGTCGCTCTATTTCGACGCTAGCTCCATGTCCGTTGAGACACAAAAGAACCTGGAACGCTTGAATTGCCGGTGTCGTTTGGCCTGATTTAATTGAAGCCGATTACCCAGCTGGAGACTTCAGAGCAGGCCGCCAGCTGGGAGCCTCATTAGATCGATCCATGTCCGCCCATCGCAGCAGGGTTGCTTTTCAGCTTTTCAACACTAGCTTTTTTCAAAGTGCAGTCCCACTGTTATTACGACTTCTATCAGCGTTTAAATAGCATATGCCAAACTTTAAGAGTCCGGACTTAGCGGACTCCACAACAAAGCTACACAAGATCAATGGGCTTTCGCGTCAAAAGTTTTGCGACGGAAACCACTTCAAAAGCCGCCTTTCAAGTGGTGCAGCAATGCTTCCTTGACACCTGGCTGTGGCTCACAGCCCCCACCCCAGGTGATTCATTAGGCACCCGCATCTGCTCGTTGGCCCGCTTTATGTTGAGCACTCTTAAGCTAAATTAAGTTTTGATAATTCCTAATAATCTATTCAAGCAAGTTTTCAAAAATGTTTGTTCACTTGCCTGTCGCTCTGAGTGGTTTCAATGGGTGCGTTTTGGTTGGCTTGGGGCGGGGAAAAGGCTCTCCAAAGAATATGAGGTAAGCTTTTGTTGTCCTCCCTGTCCTCCCTTCAGTGCGAATTGAATTTTGAAATTTTCTTAGATTTGAATTGTTAGATAGCTGGCGACTTATTAGATTGGAACACACAAAACCACACACAAAAGTCTTGCGGTACCTCTGTTAGAAAGCACTGTCCAAAAATATTTAATGAATTATTTCCTTTTCTTAAAGACTATTGGGCTTAAAATTATTATTGTTGTGTGCATATGACCATTTAGAAACAAAATGTCTTAAATTCCTTGATGTGTTTTTACTAATTTGTTAACTATCTTTTTACCTTGAATGGTTTAATTTTAATATATTTATGATTTGATAGCGTAAGCCTACGCGGAACAAGTCTTGTGATTTCAAAAAGAACGGCAAGGACTTCATCTCGCAGTGTAATGGCTTTGAAGAACTTTTCTACCAACAACTATTGTTGAAAAGTTTTCAATTGAGAATATTAATTTAGCCAATACACGTAGGCGAAGGGGCGGTGGGGAAAGCAAAACAAACGGTAAAAGTTTTGTGGTTGCACAGCCCGAAACCAAGCCGAAAAGAGAAGAGCACCAGTGGGGCGACCAGGTAAGGTATGCTTTATAGGATGTTCATCCTCAACTTGAGGGCGACAAGGTGCCGGCATAATGTGGTTTTTGTGGCGCACTTTCTATTAGGCAAGCGGAAGTATAATCAAGAACACTCGCCTCCCCCACTTACGTACATGCCGCTCCTCACCCCGAGCATTCCACCACCGGGGACATCCACTCAGCGAGGCACACGCACTTTGGGCCAATTAGCTGTATGTCCAACCAAGTTGGCTGTGGGCCTGGTTTTGTTGTGGCGAAACGAAGTAGAGCCCTGTAATCAGTGGTTGCGAGTATTCTGAATACAGTTGATAGTGCGGTCAGTAGTCACTTTAATCTGTCTAAATCACAAAAGAATTTGAACAAGGTTAACAGTGATCTACACTCAAAAAAATAATATATGTAAAAAACATTTTCAACGCAATTGATATCCATATAAATAAGAAAACTGAACTTAGTTCCTTTCAGTCTAATATGTGTATGAGGGATCGATACAAGTTTCCATTCTTGACATCTTAATTAAAATGTGAATGGTAAAATAGTCAAATTGACTAAAATCCATGTTGTTTTCTATATGTGTCTGTATAAGAGAAATGGAGAACGGATCTTGTTAAGCCGCTGGGCACACGGCACAGTCTCCAGCCCGTGTTCACCTGCAGGGAATTAACATGCAAAGCCGAACCCCACCCGAAAACACACATCCTCAGAGAGAGGGGGCTGGTCAGGTTATGAACATTGCGCTCATCATCGACTGGCCGCCGGCTAAACTGGCGGATGGCAGACGGCAGCTGTTCGAGTGCCCATCTCTCCCAATCCCACGCCTCTGGAGTTGTGTCCGAAAAATGTTTTTTCCCGGCATTTGCATGGTAAAACGGCAACACGGTGTGGTGGTCATTGTGAGCTCAGAGTGTTGTACTACACTCAAAGTCCATTCAATCACGATTGCACTGACAAAAAAGCATGAACAAAACTTAGAAAAGCATCGGTATTTTATCAATCTTTGCCAAGTTATAAAAATATGGTAGCCAATCCTTACCAGAAGCCAAACAATTTAATGCTTTCCTAAGATATTGGAGATCAAATGTTAAAAATGCATTAACAAAACTTACAAAATGGAGAACTAACATCGACGCATCGGTATTTTTATAAATTGTTGTTATGTTATAAAAATGTGGTGGCCAAACCTTACCAAAAGCCAACACATTTAATGCTTTTCGAAGGTATTGAAGACCGAATTTAAAAAATTAAGCTTAATATCTAATATTCGACCCAAAGGCATTTTCCTACTCAAATTTCGAACATACTTGTATTTTTTAGTGTAAACTCACATCCTATTCAATCATAGGCGAGGGAGAGTCAAAAGAAGTTGGAAGTTGGAACCAGAGCCAGAAACAGAAAATGAACTAACGCAGAACCTGCCCCTGGAATCGAGACTGGGCAAAGACGCCCAGCGGTAACAACTGTCCAATGCAGAAGCTGCTCGGTTCACATTTGCTTTGTTTCATGCTAGGTACACATGTTTGTTACCTGCGTGGGAACGGAAGCTGGTGGAAGAGGTTGAAAGTGGGTAGCAGTGGACCGAGCGCAGTTTGTTTCCGGTCCGCCAGGCCATGCAATACGAGAAAAGAAAGCAAACTGGCGCCTGTAGAACACTTTTGCGTTTCAAGTGAAATGTCCGAACACAGCTTCAATGGTGCTGAAATCTTCCACACTTCATTTCTGCACTCAGACGTTATAGAAATGTCGAAACAAAGGTATTTAAAGATTATACAATCAACGAACTTTTTCGAGAGAGAAAATGTCCACACATCTATTTTACCTAATCCCACCCCGATATAAGGGCAAATCGATAAAAAATTCGTTCCGGGAATTCGATTGATTCCAAAATAACTTTTTAAAATTTGTTTATCCCTTAATTAGGCCTGCACAATTCACCTAGCAGGGTAACCCCTATCCACTATCATCTGACTCACTGGGTAGCAACATATGATCAATGTGCGAAAGTACCTGTTATCGCGATATGCAATCGATCAAAAACGTGCAAGCCGCCAATCGAGCACCCACCAAAAGATAAGAACGCACCTATATAAGCCAAATGCCGCTTCGATCTATTAATTATAAGTTTTTCTACGAGCTATCGAAATGGGTTCCCCCTTCCAGCTACTCATCGTCGTCCTTCTGGGACTTACCGTTAGTGCCACTCCGGTGGTGCAGCAGGCGGGCAGCGCCCAATTCACCTCGGCGGTCTCTCGCTTCCTGCAGGCTTTCAAGAGCATCATGCCCTGTGGCTACGGCAACATTCCCGTGCTGGCTCCCCTCGTAAATCCTTTCTACGAATTCGAGTACATCACCGACGACTACACCGTTGTGGGCAACGTGACGAACATCCGAGTCCAGGGTCTGGACAGCTTCCAGGTTCTGAGTGCCAGCGACTACGGAAAAACTGGAGAGGCCGCCTATGATGTGCTCTTCCCCAAGATCCAAGTGCTTGGCTTCGCGGAAGTTGATGGTTTCATCAACATCGGCGGCTTCAAGCTGCCCATCCGGCAAAACGATGTGATCAACGAAGCCCTTTTCGATCTGCGCTTCGTGGGAAGCTACAGCTTCGCCAACAGCCTGACCAACTCGTCTGGCTTGCGCATGGTGGATTTCAAGCAAACCATCTATCTGGCTGGTGTGGAATTGGACAACTGGAACACTCTGTGGAACATCTCGACCAATAACTTCTGGAACCGTTGGATGAAGACCTTGCTGCCACTTGCACTCGAAGAGATGCAACCGAACATCACCAACTTTCTCTACCAAAACTTCCTCGTTCCGAAGGTCAACGATCTTCTGGGCAACGTGAGCATGTCCGAGTTGGTAAACATCTTCCAGACTCAGGCTCAGCTCTGGGAAAGGGCCGGATGCCAGGTTTAAAAGTATTCGACTGTTAATCAATAAATTAATAAATTAAAGGAAATCAGGCATATGAATTTGGCAGTTTATATAACACTTACATTACACATACGCAAGGAGGTCTGCCGGAAAGCGAAATTCAATTCCTACATTAATTAAACTAATGAGGCGCTGCACGGCTCATATAGCGATATTGCTGCGGGGTTGTGGGCGCTATGTCCATAAATATCAATTTAAATTCAGCACACTTTGTTAGTCCAGGAAGGGGCAAAGGACACGAATCGGTCTTTGACTTCTTCGGTAGCAACTCCATCTCTTCTCCAGCTTCCTCTCACTGAACTTGGCCCTATAGTTGCTTCTGTTCTTGTAATCCGCTTAAGTAACTCAACAGGAACGGAAGCCGGAAATGAAAACCATACAGTGTACGATGCAAGAGTGGGAGAAAGGTGAAGCCGTCGCAAAAGACAGAAGTCGACTTCGGAACGGAGATGAACTGAATTGCTTTGTATTGGTTGGGGTCAGGCGAGTAGCCGTTGCTTGTGCCCTCGTTCATGATTTCTCACTTAAGGAAAAAAAGCTTTATTAACACTATCCGAGCAGAAATACAAGCCTGCAAATATAAAATATGGTTTTTAAAGTTTAGACAAAGTACAGAAATGAATAAACTATAAAAAAAAAAGTTTTGAACGTAAGGTCTTGGACAATTGAAAGGTTGTTAGATAATATTTTAAAAGAAATTATATAAATATGAATAATTATATTATAAAGACAAAATGAAACAACATTTTAATTGCTTAAATATATTAAAAAAAAAAAAAACAACAAATCAACGTTTATTTTTTCGAGTGCTGTGACTCGAAATGAGACGAGAAGGAATCACAGTTCTTAAGCCGCACCGGAAATGAATAGCCGCTGCGAAGTTCGGCGACACGTTCCTCACAGGTTAAACGCAACGAATTCCCTAAAAATATAAAACAACTGTGTTCGCTTTTGGCCGGATTTAAGTGGTAAAATTATTGGCTGTAAGCGAGGATGGGAAAGTAAAAATGAAATCATACAACAAATGGCTTTTTACATTGCGGTTTTCCGGTCGCCGCTTATCTCGTCCCGACTTCCGTTTCAGGTTGCCGTGGTGATCAAAAGTCTGTCGTGCACTAATCAATTATTTAGATGTGCATATCTTATGACCCCCAAAAGTTACCGGTACACCGATTTTTTCTGGTCTAAATGTGGGCTGTTTATTAGCATCCTTATTATAGGCCAGACGTTTAATTGTATACCTCTCTAGTGTTAATTGACAATAAAAGACATCAATACGGAATTTTTGTCGTTTTTTTATTATTGCATAATTATTCAGTAGTTTACATTAACATTAAACTGTTTATGCAAATACAAAGACAATGTTATTTAGTCGCAATTTTTTCTTGAAACTTGCAATTATTTCTCATTCCCATGCCTGGACATCAAAAATATTTAATAATTTATTAATTAATTAATTTCTAAATGGTGCAACAATATTGACAATAAAATAAAAAAGAATTGGTATATATTAATATATTTGCAATTGCGTTGCGAATACATTATTAATTACTGGTTTTGTTTGCATAATGCTCATATACAAATGTAGAATATTAATTATTCGATGGACACGTTGGAGACAAAGTGGGAATTCTAATGGCATGGGAATTGCTATCGATACAACAAACTAAAATAAATATTACAATATTTTTGTGATGAGGCTTTCGCCTCCCAAGTGTAATTGTGGTATTTACAATGCATGTGTTAGATTAAAGCTTTTCAAACATAGTCTTTCGCAGACATCCGTACTTACATTCCCTCTGTCACACACACAGCTCCAACGTGCCAGTCAACAATTTCATTATTTGCTACTAATTGTTCTTGACTTTATTTGTATTTTATAACATTAAACAAACAACATTCAATCTTTCACGTTTCTTTTTTTTCTTTGATAAGTCATAGGTAGGTATAAAGACTTCATATTCCCTTTAGTTCACTCGCTCAGCATGTGGGCTACGGTGGCTAATTTTGTATTGCCTAGTTGTATACATACACCAGAATTAAATATTTATCAAATTGAATGCATCTCGGTACCGGACAAAAACGTACTTAAAAAAATAAAAGTGAATTCTTCTCAACATTTTATCGTGCTGGCTACAAAAGGTTCTTTCCACTCAACTTGCTATATAATTATACAAATATATATGCTATTTTTAAAAAGGTACTATAAAAAACATTACAAATTATGGTTAAACGTAGCTTAGTAAAAAATTGTACACACAGCTCAAAAAGTGCGGTTGCTCAAATTGCAGTTGGACCAATTGAACTCGATTATTACACTATACAAATCCTAGTCGATGTGAATACATGTGTACCGAATGAACTTCATGTTGTTACCTTTCTTTGCTCTTGAACATTTTCATATTTTATAAACCTTTATTATTTTAGAAATATATTTTTTTTAATTTGAATAATACAGTTTAGAAATCCTATGACGCCAATTATATCCAGCTGCAACATGCAAAAGAAAAAATCATATTCAAATATTCCCACCTTCATTTTAATAACATTTTGCCATTCGTTTAGATTTTTTTTGCTTCACAAATTTACAATGTCACCTACTGCGGAACCATCTGTACCAACAACCAAAGTTTTTAACACAGTTCAAAATAAACTAAAAAAAAACACACAGTTGTAAAGCACACTTTTAGGCACTTCAAAATGACAAAAAAAGGAAATAGAAAGTAAACTTTTCCTTAAATGTTTATGATCAATAAATTCTATTTTTGACAAATAAGGTGTGGTGTAATTTTTATGTTCAGTTGGCTCAACTGCAGAGAAGATCACGAAATATGTATCATGAAAATTTCAAGAACTTAGTTATTGCTGTTATTTTAAGGGTCATGCATAGAATATTTACGTTTTAAATGCTTCACACTTGTCAGTAGTGTACATCTTTTCACATAATTATCATATACACATAATTTTATCTAAATTATGCAACTTGCTGTTCGCATTTGAATATACATTTATAAATATTAATTGCTCTAATATATTTGAATTATTTTAAGCATATTGTATCCATTTAACCAGTAAGTTATGCACGTTCATATGAACTAACTCCTTTTAGCATATTGTATCCTTTTAACCAGTATGTAATGCACGTTCATATGATTTACCTCCTTTATTTAAATTTCTTGCTTCTCTCTCTTGATAAAAACATTCTAACAAATCTATACGTCGATGTTGGGGTATAAATACATATGCGTTATAAAAATGCATTTTAAAATATGTAAATTTCCGACAATGTCAACATTTTTTCAATGTCTTCATCCTTATGTTTGCTGTTGCTTCGGGCGGTTTGGGGCACTAAAATGGGCTTCCAGCTTATGTTCATGTTTAAAAGACTTAATGTTTTTAAATGTTTGTCCATTAATTAATGAACGGAAACATGTTTTGACATCAGTTGGTTTGGTTTTTAGATTCCAAATTTGTATCTCTAAAGTAATTCGACATACTTCCGTACTCTTGTTCGATTTTTCGTTGACGAATTTCGATTTAGACATTGCCAATTACATAAGTTTGTGTGTGACAGATAGTTGAATATCTTTAACTTAAATGGCGAATCCCTTTTTTTTGGTTTTGGTTTATTGGCTATTTTAGGCCAGCATTTTTATTAGCTAAAAGCGGCTTCGTTAAAGAGCTGCATCCTTCATTTCTGAATTTCCTTTTTGTTTTATTTTCAAGTATTACTTTTATATGTCTACAAAGAAAAGGTGCCAAATTCTTTCAATAAACAAAGGCAGGCATTTTGGAGGCTCTGGTAACAAAAATCGCTTCTTAGTGAATACAATTTTATTGTTTGGTTGGATTTTAGTTAGTGGCCATTTAAAATTGTAATTTAATAATTGTGTAAAATAAGTTAAAGAAAAAAGTGGTTAATTCATAAAGTGCGTCTGTGACACCAATATTTCACTTTCAATCATAATTCTGCATTGTAGTTACATTTACAAATATATTCAAACCTTTTTTTAATTATACAGGACTGCTTGCATATTTTAATACAATAGTTTACTCCATACACTTTGGCGTGAATTTAATATAGGTTGATTGTTTAACTTTCCGTTGCAATGAACTAAAAGTGTTATTTAACGGCAAAAAATAAACAGATTTTAGTTAGTTGCATATAAAGCTTCTAGTATATTGCTAGGCAAAAACTGACACAATGACGACAAGGCAAAAAACATTATCATCAGAATATCTATTTTTGCGTGCTGTTTAACATTGAAGTGAGCATTTAATTTGTAAACAATAAAGAAACAAAAAGTATACATTTCGAATAAAAATAAATTTCGTTTTGTGCATTCTTTCAACTGTTGCAGGCGAGGCCGAAATACGTGGTGTGTATTGTTTCCTTGTGCATGTGAATTTTGTGTAGTTTGGATTTGTTGATTTGTTAAACAATTTCACATTTTAAAATTCGTACACTTTCAGCTTAAACCCTATAGATACTAGAACGTATGGCCTACACATATCAAATAGCTTACATCAAACTATTTACCGTGGCTATTGGTATAAAACTTTACATTTAGCGGCTTTTTAAATTTTTTTCTAGCTTTTCATATTCATATACAAATGCCGAAAATGATGTTAATATTTTCTTCAAATGGACAATCAATAGTTTGATCCCAAACATTATAAGTCCTGTTTCATTTAGGCCTCCGTTTCGGCGCCTTTTAGACGCAGGCGGGCAAAGTCCTCAAAAATAATGTCATCATCCTGCGCCTCATCGTCGTCCAGCTGAATGAGATTGGTGGTGGTGGGTACGTCCTGACCCCCAGCTGCCGATCCTGTCTCTCCGCCGTCACCCAAACTTACAAGCGGTTGACCACCGCCGGCCAAACTAGCCCGAGGTGATCGCTCGCCCAGCAGCGGATGTTCCTCCTCCTCAGGCTTAGGGTGCATTAGTGTGAACGGGAGCTCGGCCACGAGATCTCCATTCAGCAGAGGCGAACTAATTAGCAACTTCACCTTCACCTTATAGTGCACCATAATACCGAGACTCTCTCGCTGGGCAGGATTGGTGATGAGCGTGCTTGACGCTAAGTTGGTATCCTCATGCTTCAGCTGCCCATCCAAGGCCAGGCCCCATTTATCCTTATTATTCGCCAGAAGGGGGCACAACTCGAACACCTTCGACAAGGTGAATCCTGGCGCAACTTGGCATCCATCCTCCGACTCGATCTCGGCCACCACGGACTTGTATTGGGCCGTTGAAAACAGGCAGATATCCGCAAACTGACGGACACACACCTTGATCTTCTTTACCGTCCGATTCGAATTATTGGCCACATGAACGTTAACCGATATTTTCTCGCCGTGATGGTACAGCTCCTTATCCAAACTAGCTTCCAGATGGATCTTGTTCGGTTTCATCATAAACTCCTTGCTGACTTCGATCGACGGCTGCTCACCTACTTTGGAGGGGGCGTACATGACTTTTCGAATAGTCAGGCGCACAGAGTTCCGCTTGTGGGGCTTGTCCTCTACGTTCTCACCTACCAAGGATAAACATTATGAGTAATCGCATCAGCTGAAGTAAACCCATGACGTATGCATAATTCGACCGGGGGTGTGTCATGTGTTTGTTTGTAAGAAAAGTGCGTCATTGATGTTGGGTATATCGCGGATCAGTACGAGTTCCAGGAACCTTCAAACACGACCCTAGCGACAATAGATTTTGGGCACCCAAATATAGACGACTCAGTGCCAATCTAATTTGGGTGTTGTCATTAAAGCGAAACACTTTCCATTCAGAAGATCATAAATCGTGCTGCGTCAAGATGAGCTCCGTAAGCTAATTGTTTATCCCAAAAACATGGAAGCGAGGCACATTAAATACACAAATCAACAGACGCCAAGTAAATAAAAGCTGTAGCCAAATCGTCATGGGGGAAGAGAGAAGAGCTAAGAAATCGTTTCTGCGAACTACAGAAAATTCCACATTGTTTTCGAGTTCTATGAATCGTATTTCGGTTTACAGTGGGCACTGAATAATGAAAACATTTAAACGTCTAATGTTAAAAATGTATCTGGCGGATACGCATTCAAAAAATATAAAACAGGTGATTAAATTTTCCGTTGTTCACTGTACCATAATAAAGTAGTGCAGCAATAGCAAAATCATTTAGATATAGAAAAGCCCACCCAGACGCCAATTGGGATCGCTGCTACTTTATTAATCTTTTTATGGCCGTACGCAAATTGGCTGCTAGATAAGACCGAAATTCCAACAAGAGCCATAAAACCACCAAAAATTTATGAAGAAAGCAAGGCAAACGAAATAGATAATAGTATTTACCTAACAGGGAGAGCGAGGAGGGTGTATCAGGGGAAGGAATACAACCAGGTACTGTGAGATTGGGTCTGCGTGTGCGAGTAGCAAATATGCGCGGATAACTTCCAAAAAACGCAACGTATGTACTCCTTTGCAGCTTTTCTAGTCTAGTTAGTTTCCCAAAATTAGTTGTGCAAAGCAGGGTGAAAATGGGGAAAAGGAGTTATTGGGAATGTCAGCAGAAAACGACAGAGCTCTCAAGAATTACTTTCAGCAATCGGATATTGGCAAACCAAACGTCATTAACGGCAACTACGGCGCCTAATTAAAGCGAACAACAACAACGGCTGTGATACAACTACGGCCGAGTCAGATTCCAATTAGAAGCGTCGAATTTCAATTAGGTGGGACGCTGCGTCACCAAGCCCAATGACATTTTTGCGCAGTCCGACGTAGCTGGATTAATTAACCCCGTGTTCCCGACCGCGTGACACATGCGCTAAATTACACAAAGCCACACATACAACCAATTTACAGTCGAACTTCCATTGGACACCGAAATAGTTCAGTTTGGTACAAATGACCATTCTACTACTTTAGTAAGCCCCTCGAAATTATAAACTTGAATCTAATGAAAAATCTTATAAAAGTCCACAATATTTGACCAGAGTTAGGGCCATTTAGGGGGCCATGTTAATCCGCGCAATCAAGGCTCCACTGTACATAGATATGTGCAGAGTGGAATGTATAAGTACGTATACTGGATGCCTGTATCGACTGCTGCAATCGCTCATCAATGACTTTGACTTTGCCTGACCGCCGTACATGGACACTCCCACAAGACCAGACCCGGACTCACCCACAAAGGCCTTCAGCTCGTAGTCCACTCCGCAGGACTTGCCCACGTCCCCCGGCGCTGGCTGCAAGGACACGGAGGCGGGGCAGTAGGGCGGCACCTCGAAGTAAAATGGATGGGCGTTGGGTCCCAGCTTTTTGATCAGCCTCTCCTGCAGACGGGTCATCGGACGGTCCAGCTGCATGGGCGGGTAGATCTGCTCATGCGCCAGATACAGGTCCTTGCGGAACGTCAGTCCCAGGACGTCCAGGTCCTCGCGTCCGTAGCGAAAGGCGGCCAGGACCTGGCCAAACACCTTGCGGTCCTTGACGTACTCGGGGTCGATGAAGACGACGCCGTCGATGGGATCCACATGCGTGACATGGTCCACGAAGTCCCGCTTGCCGAGGTAGACCGTGATCTTGCCGTTGGACGAGCTCTTCTTGAAGACCCGCGTCGCCTGGCGGCGGGAGCTGGCGTCTCCTCCGGCCTCGTCATTACCCGCCCCGCCTCCGGTGCTTCCGGCAGCTGTCACACTTGTGCTGGAGCCATTGCTGCCGAGTGCTGCTCCTCCGCCCCCGTTCATCGTGTTCATTGGCGGTGGTGTCGCTTCTTCGCTGGGGTTCCTGCTAAATGGTTGTCCGCTCTCGCCGCTCCTCGTTTTTCGGCACTCTTGGCACCGTTTAGTAAATATATGTGTGCGTTGCAATTTAATTTTTTATGTGTATACTTAGTCCGCCACTTGCCAACACTGTCGGGGAAATATACCAAAGTAGTGTTTTTGGTATTAGCACGGCCGATAAATTGGCATGGTCTCACTCCAACTCACAATTGCGTTTCCACTCCAGTTCTCTGTTAACTCAATTGTGAGCGCACTGCTATCTCCGCTGTTAACGCCAGTGTTAGTTAACGCCAGGGTTACCTTATCTAAAAACATCGGCCAAACATCGAGTACTCAAAAACATCGAGTACATTGTTTCCCACCTCTAATCTAACCCACTCACTTTTCCACTCATGCGCACTGTTAACTTTTCACTCCAATTCGTGCGCACTGTTAACTTCGCAGTGCATTTCCACTCAAGTCCGCGCGCGCTCTGCTAGCCCGCTGTTAACGCCAGGGCTACTAGGGATGTCGAAAATATATCAAAATATCAATATATCGATATTTTTTACGAAAAAATAAATATTTTTATCGTGATATTTTTTTTGAATAATTATCATATATCATCGATTTTTTTCACATTTTTTTTGATAATTTTAAGTGGTCTCACTTTTCATCGGGACAAGAAAAAATACATACAGGGGTGGTCAAAAGTATTTTCACAAATGTAAATGTTAACTGTACTTATATTTTGAACTAATAATATAAACTTTTGGCACCTATAGAAAGAGCACTTCAATTCCGTTTAAATGACACAAAAATGTTCTTAACCCATTAAGACCCCTTTGAAAAGTGAGCAAATTTTGCGAAAATCAAATTTTCGACTTTTTCCCTGGGGCTTAAAACAAAAATGTTTTGATGCAAAATTTGTTCCCCAATCAAAATTAATAATAACTGCAAAAAAAAAATTTCAAAATATTTTTCCTTGTATTTTTTATGATTTTTTGAATGGAGACCTCTCAGTAAAATTTTGTATGAAAAGGAAGAAAAAAGGCAAAAATAGCTATTTTCAAAAAATCATAAAAAATACAAGGAAAAATATTTTGAAATTTTTTTTTGCAGTTATTATTAATTTTGATTGGGGAACAACTTTGCATCAAAACATTTTTGTTTTAAGCCCCAGGGAAAAAGTTGAAAATTTTATTTTCAAAAAAAATTGTCTAATTTGCTTACTTTTCAAAGGGTGCTTAATGGGTTAAGAAAATTTTTGTGTCATTTAAACGGAATTGAAGTGCTCTTTCCATAGGTGCCAAAATGTTTATATTATAAGTTCAAAATAATAATAAAAAAAATAATAAAATAAAAATAAAATAAAAAAAATATCAAAAATATCTGATATATAGATATTTTTTTCTGATATATCAAATATGATTTTGATTTTTTGTTTAAATATAAAATATCATCGATACGATATTTTTAAATATTTCGACATCCCTAAGGGCTACCTTATCTAAAAAACATCGAGTACTCACAAACATCGAGTACATGAGTACAAGTGTTTTTTCCCACCTCTAGTCTAACCCACTCATTCTTTTCACTCCAATTCGTGCGCACTGTTAACTTTTCACTCCAATTCGTGCGCACTGTTAACTTCGCAGTGCATTTCCACTCAAGTCCGCGCGCGCTCTGCTAGCCCGCTGTTAACGCCAGGGCTACCTGCTGTTAACGCTAGGGTTACCTTATTTTAAAAACATCGGACTATCGGCCAAACATCGAGTACTCACAAACATCGAGTACATGAGTACTTTTTTCCCACCTCTTACCTTCGTTTCCACGTGCGTTTTCTTATTCCGGCAAAAAACCACGCGCTGTCCACCAATCCGTTTATACTCTTCTTCGTGCAACTAAACGACTTAAACTAAACCGCTGAAATGGCCCAGAAGAAAACCGTTGCCGCCAAGGGAAAGAAGGCCCCCAACCGCGTGGAGAAGGAGGAAGAGGAAAACGTGCTCGCCCAGACGCCCTCCAAGAAGGCCAGGAAGCAGCCCGTGAAGGAGGTGCCGCAGTCCAGCGAGGAGGAGTCCGAGGCCGAGGAGCAGAATGGCGACCAGGCAGAGGACGACAGCGACTCCGAGGTAAGTACCACAAAAACGTGGTTCGGGGGCGGGCGTCTCTTACTGGGGGTCCGCGCTCACTGCAGGCTATTTACTTTCGTTACAATGTATCTAAATACACATGTGCAGCTAACAAAATGTGCTAGTTCTAGTTCTCGAAAAAAAGCTGTACCTACTTGGCCCTTTCTGAAACACGTTTTTCAAGATGATTTTTTTTAGTTCCCATATCGACGATGATAAGTTAACTACTTTATTTGTAATTCCAAAATGAGGTTAATATGTGGGCTTTCTTTTATCTTAGGCCGGAGATTTACTTGACGACGAGGCTGAGGAAGACGATGAGGACGACAGTGAAGGAGAGGAGGATGATGACGATGAGGTGGAACCTGGCGAGGTTTCCAAGACCGAAGCCGCTGATGAAGAAGAAGACTCCGACGATGATGACGACGCACCTGTGGAGGAACCAGTTGCCAAGAAGGGCAAGGACACTAAGAAAGCCGGAAGCGAGGCGGGAGAAAAGAGCGGAATTCCCAAAGTACGCGTTGGCAAGATTCCCCCAGAGACGCCAAAGAATCAAACCGTCTTTGCCACCAACTTACCAAAAGGTACAGTGACTTGTTATTATTTCAGTGTGGAAGTTATAATAACAAAAAAATGTTATCTAATTTTTTGTTGCACAGAGTTCAAGCACAAGGATTTGGTGGCCCTGTTCGCCAAGTTTGGACCGATTACCGCACTGAATCGCTTCGTTTCTAAAAATGGCTTCAGTTCAGTCATTATCGCCTTTGAAACGGCTGCTGCAGCGGAAGCTGTTCTGCAGGCCAAGCCCAAGTCGCTGACCCTTGGGAGCAATGCTTTGATCATATCCCAGCCGAAGGACAAGGACGTCTTAAACGAACGCACTGTGGTGGTTAGCCTGTTCGGGCCCAAAGTGACCACCGAGGAGTTAAAAGCCTCCTTCGAGAAAGTGGCTCCCGTGGAATCGGTTTCCTTATCCTCCAACCGCTTCAACCCCAAAGCCTTTGTTCGTTTGGCGTCAGTTGATGACATCCCCAAGGTCCTAAAACTGCACAGCACCGAACTCTATTCTCGATTCATCACAGTGCGACCAGTTTCGTTAAAGAATGCTTTGAAGACTCCGGAACTAACCCTGGTTGTCGAAAATGTGAGCAAGCTGGAATCTTACAGTGCCGACGCTTTGGAGAAAATTTTCAAAAAGTTCGGCGATGTGGAAGATCTTGACATTGTGTGCAGCAAGACAGTTTTAGCCTTCGTCACATTTAAGAAGGCAGAAGCAACCACTAAGGCTTTGGCCCAGCTGCAGGGAAAGACTGTAAACAATTTGGAGTTGAAGCTGCAGCGCTTTGAACGCAGCACGTCCGGAAAGGCGATTCTTGTAACGAACTTGTCTCCTGGTAAGTTGCCCTAGTCTGTACTTTTATTTTCATTGATGAAAGCTGAAATTTCTCATAATGACGTTATCAACATATTCTCGGATTTAAAACCATTCACTTTTCCTTGCAGATACCACTGAAGCCGACCTGCGGGAAGTCTTTAACAAGAGCGGCGAAATCGAGAGCGTCCAGTTGCTGAAAAACAAGGCCGTTGTGAAGTTCACAAATGAGGACGGATTCTGCAAATCTTTCTTGGCAAACGAAACCGTCATTAACAAGCTTCCCATTTTTATCGAGCCCAACTCGCTGCTGAAGCACAGATTATTGAGGAAACGTGTCGCTATTGGACACTCCCACGCCCCTGCCAAATTCCAGAAGACCGGGAACCAGGGCAAGAAACCCTTTAACAAGCGCCCAGCCCACGAAAATGGTGGCAAACCTTTTGCGAAAAGAGGAAAGTTCTAGAGCTGGGAAAACTAAAAATATTTTAGTCTTAAGTTGTGCAGTACGATGAATACGGCCACAATTCATTTTAATTCCGTGCTGCCGATGTAATGGATTTAGTCGATAAGAGATACCCTTCAAGTTTTTACTGCAAAAAACTCGCCGTATTTTAAACGGATGTTAATTTTTATAAACATTAAATCCAAAACTAAATAAAGGGTCAAAAAGTATATAAACATTGAAAATATTGATTGGCTGACTACTTCTTTAGTGGACGAATGGTAAATTACCGGCACGTACCGGCGTTTATAGAAATGATTGGGGTTACAAATGTAACGAAAAATGACTCATCCGTTTTTGCACACGAGTGATTCATTCAGAAACGACGACAACTCCACACGCAATAATTTAATTTCTCCAGTACGGCACTCCCATTGCACCTCCAGTTGTTCATGGCAACCTAACCGTAATGCAAATGAAATGAGGCAGCAGATTGTGAGAATGCATTACCAAAGTAAGGGCTTGGCTACGACCAATTGCCATAATGAGCCCAATTTTCACACCCTTAGAGGGTTGTTTTTGCTTGCGGCTAGTTACACTAAAGTTCACACAAAAAATATAGACTTTAAAATAATTAAATTAACTAGCTAACTTAGCACCGTTTTCTTATCCGTCTGTTAACTTTATAGTACGGTTTAAGTCTTAAATCGTATATGAAATCAGAGTTTAGAGCTTCCCTTACATTAAACACGAAAATATGGCTTATAATAGTACATACCTTATTGAATTAAATTTCCTATATATTAAAAGGCGTACATTGTCCTCTCATGTCAGCTACGTAACATAGTCGTCCGATTGTTTGTTAAATTCGGAATTCTGAAATATTAAAAAAAGTGTAATGTACCCGAGTAGAAGAAAATACAATGAAGATCAACAGAGCTATAAATTGTTCCTTTTAATTTGACATTAATTTTCGAATTGTTTCTAGGGCCGCTACATATATAACAAAATCTACCGTTTTCTTTTTAAAATTATTTGGAACTTTAGAAATTTTTAAAAAATTATATCTCCAAGATTAGAATGTTATATATTTTTGAATTATTTTACCGATCCCTCCTATGGCATCTATAAGATAAGATTTCCGATTGAGTTGGTTCCGACATATAAACTACCTGCAATAGGAAGAAAACTTTTGGGAAACTTTTGGCATACAACCTAGATCGACTCGCCTAGTCATGCTGATCCAGAATATATATACTTTATTGCAAACTTGTGACCGAAATCATTACACCACTTGCAAGGGTATAAAAACTACCCTCTAAATGTAAGTAAGCAGCCTATTAAAACTTCAGTATGAAATTGATTTGTATTTTTAACATTTATTAGTAATATATTTTGTGTAGTATTTTGTTATTTTTGCTGTTGTCACTACACGCTCACAAATATGATCTTTGATAGATATTTATCGTTTAATATAAGTATTAAATTTTTTAATGTATATTTGTTGTAAATGTAATTTGGGTTAGTACTTTCACTTTCAGTAATTGTTAGTTTTTCAAGACTTCTTTATGCACGTACGTATGCACATGTAAGTATATATAAAAAGAAATGTTCCCTTGACTGAATGCAACGGAAATAAAGTATACGCCAACCAAAAGCAAGCCCCAAAGTCAACAGGCCTATTGGCCGGCAGTGTCGGTTATGAATCACCTAATCAGTCTGTTTATAAAGTTGTTAGTAATGATTGGGGTCGGGTTGTAGTTTGCCCATTCAAGCCAAACTAATTGTGCCTGTGAAGCTTTTTACTTTCTGGCTCTGAACTCAGGGGGTTGCTGTTGCGTTTTCGTTGGCTGTGCTAAGTCTCTGTATCTCATGTTGCCTTCGACTTAATTTTTCAATAGAAGTTATATAATTATTATTAAGCTTAGGTAGAAAATCACTAATAATAAGGCAAATTAAAGTGAAGGGCACTGGGGCGGGATTTCGGCAAAACCATAATGTAAACCAACTAACTCTCTAAACTAGACAACTAGATCAATAGATACCCTTTTAGCAGTCGGGAATAATTTCTGTATGTATATTTGATTTATATGAAGGCAAATTTGTAACATTAGCAACTTAGTTATTAAAAAATAACCCTTTTCGGATTCACTTTCACAAAAGCAGGCAAAATTGGTTTCTCGTACAATAAATTCGAGTCGTTGACGCTTCCTTCCACATTAATATATTTGTCGTCTCTAAATAAATATATAAAATAAAATTTAAAGGAATCAATAATAAAACAACTAAAAAGAATATTTCTGTTTTAAGTATTTTTTTGTTCATTTTGTTTTAATTGGTAATATCGTTTTGAACATACAAGTATAGAGAGTGTGAATAGGGGTTACATTCAATGTTACGCTTATTGATTCTGTTTTTTCGTTTTCGTGTGGCAAAATCAACAAATTATAAAATAATAATACACTTTGACCTAGGTCACAAAAAAGTAAGAGAAAAACGGATTTAAAAACATGGTTAAATAAAAAACGTTCCGAATTGTTTCTTCATTTTAAAATATAACACTGGGTAAAATTTTTTTCTTGCTTATAACCAATAATGAGCATGTTTTTAGTTCTGCTCCTTCACCACGATATTTTTTTTAAATTATATTATGTTTACTTTTTTCAAGGTTGTTCAAACAAAACGGGAGGAAAGTATACAAATCAAGTTACTTATATGTTCGAGTTTGAAAGATCGTGGTGCTAGGAAGTACAATGGAAACACATCTATTCATGATTAATATTTTAGATTCTTATTATGTTTTTAAAGGTTAGCAGTCTACGGTTTCAGCTGCGCAAATTACGTTGCTTTTGTGTTGGATTAGTTTTGATTCGTTTTAAGTGTTCGTTTTTTCCGTGTTAGGACGCCGACTAATAGCTACATTTAAACTTGGATTTTCATCCTTTATCTTGTTCTTGCTACACGACAAGTTTCAAATTTGGTTTATTTTTTTTAGTAAATTTCTTCACCTCCTGCTTATTTGCATTTTGCGTTTTTTCTTACAAATGAGAATTGTTATCTGTTGATTTAATCGAGGCCACTTCGCTGCTCTTTCGAAACGTTGACACAATTTGAAACAATTTTCTTTCAGCACATGAGCAACAAAATAACAGAGCTTGAGGAACAATTAATAAATAAAACATCTTACTTCTTAAACAAAACGGAGCACTTGGTGATATTTATGTTTCGTTTTTTTCACAAAATAGCACAAAAATGATTTCGCTCTGAGCCCATTTCAATAAAATATATGAGATAGAAATATTTAGCAAGAAATCAAATATGTAATCGCATATAAATAAGTTCAATGAGTAGCAATTATGAATTTGGTTATCAGAATGCTGATGCCATTCTTAGATTTTCGTTAATTTGATCGTGACTCGATATTTTCTGTTCGCGCTGAATACTTTTGCTTAATATGTTTTATTATATTAGTAAAGTAGTTTTAGCTCTGTGATCTGGAATCTGGGATGTGTTTTAAAAATCCAAAAGGGACACTTCTGCATTTTGGGGAGGGACAACTTGATCCTGAAACGGTTGCTCTTGAGTCGGTTGAACGTCCCCCAAATCGTGAATGCCATTTCCGTTTTGTTTGATAGCTTCCACTTCATTATTCTGACCATTGGTGGTTGATGTAGTATCAGCAGGTGGTGCTACTGCTGGTGCCCGGATAGGTGTTGCTCCCTTTAGGGGTGTAGATTTCCGCGCTTTTATTCCAGCTGGCGATGGTTTGTTCGTGACGCTTTCTTTGGGTTTGGGTGTCAGCGGCTTGGAGGCAGCTTTGACTGGCGATGTCTTCGAAGGCGATGTCTTTCTCAGACTCGCCGCGGTTGATCCAGAGGAGCTACTAGGAACCAGCAGCCGTCGAGTTGTGCTTGTATTGCTAGTGGTAGTGCTTGCCGAGTGGTTGAACTTTGGAGCAGGACGAGCTGTGAAAGTTTTAGTGATCGTTGTGGTTGTAGTGGTGGTGGTAGTGGAGCTGGTGCTCTTGCCCAATTGCCCGTTTACAGCCGGCTTGGTAGGACTGCGAGCTGAGAGAGAAGTAGCACTTGTGCTGGGCACTTTACGCACAGTGGTGGTGTTGGAAGTGGTGCTTCGCGGCGACAAAGCTTTTGGCTTGGCCGGGGCTGTCGAAGTAGCCGCCAGTCGTGGCTTAGTTGCAGCAGCACTGCTAGAGCCTGGTCCAGTTCCGCATGCATTTGTAGCTGGTCTGCGAGCAGTAGAGCCGACTCCGCTTCCTGATCCTGATCCTGTTCCACTTGTGGCTGGCTTGCGAGCTGTGGTGCTGGCCAAAGGACGAGCTGTAGTCCTGGTTCCGCTTCCAGATCCAGTTCCCAATGCAGTTGCACTTGCAGTAGGCTTGCTGGCTGCAGTTTTGGCCCCCAATGCCACCTTGCTCACAGGAGCTGTGGCCGGTCGTGTGCTGGTTGACTTCAGTGCTGGTTTTGCTGCAGATGCTGCATTGCTGCTAAGTGGTTTCCGAGTGATTGCTGTATGTGGAGCTGCAGTCGAAGGTTTGGCAGCTGTACTTGTAGTTTTGGTTGCTACGGGGGCGGTGCGTGGACGACCAGCGACCGACTTATTTGCTCCGGCAGTAGACGTGGAGCTCGTTGTTGTATTCTTAATTGTAGAGGCTGCTGGTTTCGGTTTAGCAGAGGCTACAGTGGCTCCTGTTTTGGTCGTTGAATTAGATTTGGTGACAGCAGCAACCGCAGCTGCAGCAACTAAAGCTACTTCCGCCAAGGGTGCCGCAACTTCCTCTTCCTTTTTTGTTTCTGGAATATTTTGCACTAATGGCTCACTATTCGGCAGCACAGCTTGTTGAATCTCAGAAATAATCGGTTCTTCTTGTGCAACAGACAGTGACTCCTCTGCAGCAGCAGTCAGTGGCGCCTGTGTAGCAGCTGGAAGCAGTTGCTCCTCGGGAACAGCGGGCTCCTCTTTGATGGGGACAAAGTCTTCCACTATGATTTTCTCTTCAGAGGCAAGTTCTTCTTTGGGACTGAAGTCTTCTCCACCGTGCTGTAGTTTCTCCTCTGGGGGAGAATTCTCTTCCTCCTCGGAAACAAAATTTTCAAGACCTGGTTGATCACTTTTTGGCTCCTCCACATCCTCTGTACTCTTACTAGCAACCTTATCACTTAAGTCGAAGTACTTCGAAGCGACATCCGGTACGCCCATGTACTGCTCCTCCACTAGCTCCTCTTGCAGCTGAAGTTCATTAAAGTTAGCGGCCAGTGCTTCCGTTTGATCAAGAGTAAACTCCTTCTCCGTCTGCTCCAAGGTAAGGTGTGCGGGTGTGAAAGGCTGGGCAAACGGATTAATACCTTGAGTTGCTGGTGATATTTCGTCATCAATTTGAGCTTCAGAGCCAGGAGCTGCACTAAAGGCAGCGTACTCCTCCATCTATATGTGGAATATATATAAATGAATGAGCAATGCTTAGTAATGCTATGATTCAAAAATATTACAAGTATATGTACATTTTTTTTTAGATTTCAAAGGTAGGCGTCTAAACTGGCGGAGGCACATTGAAAGCAAAAAAGTATATCACAAACTTAAAACGGCAGCATACACTGGATTATAAATTCACGATCACCTCGTCTGGACTTTAAGGTTCTGCTCTAAAATTCCACTTTTGAGCGCTGCATGACTTACAATTTTATTTTCTTATTGTTATTCTCATTATTATGAAGGTTCAACATTTTTAAAAGCAAACCAAGATGATTTACAAACACATTTATTACCACCAAAAATAAATGCGTACAATGCTCCCCATAAACTTATCCATATTGCTAAATTGATAAATGCAATAGGTCTCACATAAAACACATCAACGTTTGTCTTCGAACCAATAAAACTTAAAAAGTGGCAAGTAGAATCAGTTTGTGTTATGCGTCAGAAAATATGTTACTTATGGCATTTCCTCTTAAACATATCTGCCAGATCCAGCTACGAAGAATTTCAGACTTTTAATAAAGACCCAACAAAAATAAATCACATTCAGAGCACAGCAAACTTTGTCGAAAGAATCAACAATGTGAAGTCCAAATTATTTGGGGTTTTAAAAACCAAAGATAATACTCTCAAAAAAGAATATAAAAAAAATATTAGCTCCCACATCTTTGTTCTGTTTTCAGTACCCGATTACTCTGCACATTCTTTAAAAGTTGGCCCCCACAAACTCATTCCCAATGCAAACAAATTTTTATAATGACATCAGCTAGCTTTACTTGTGAAAGTACTTAAGTACTTAAAGTACTCAAATAAAAATACTACTATCTAATGACGAATCGGAAAGGCAAAAATATTGTCAAGGCTTAACTTTTGCTTTCTTCGTCTAAAAGCTTTTTTGGTTGGTTTAAAAATAATTGCATTTTTCAATATTTTTGTTCCTGGTTCAAAATAAGAAAGTTATAACGGCTTGGATTTTTAAACCAAGCGGAAAAACCTACGAATAGTAACAAAAACCAAACGAATATAAGGAAAGGAAAAAAGAAGCGGATGGAAAAGATCTCAGTGTGTTAGTGTTGTGACATGGCGTTAGTTTTGGACTCAGCGACCAAAGGTTTCTGGGAAATGGGAGAAAGGAAGGGACGGGACGGGCCGGGCCGGAAAGTGAGTGTAGCGTTAACATTTTTTCCGGCACTTTCCTCTATCACGCAAAGACTACCTCTCAGCACCAAAGGCAGTGCGCCTAGAAACTCTTAAATGTCATTGACCAGTAAATGCCACCAGCAGGGGCCATTTGCCATCGGTCGGTGCCCGTTCCCAGCTCTACTCTCCCAGTTTCCCTTACGAATTTCCAATTCCTTGTTGCTAGTTGCTCACTTTTAGCCCACTCGCTCTATGGCTGGCCGGCTGACTTTCTTTTACTGCACTCGGAAAAATTTGTAATGTATTAAATATTAAAATCTTGCTGATGCTACAAGCAACTAAAATTACCTTCCTTTACAGATTTTCCAATAAATATTGATAATAAATATGAAATATGTTCGTAAGTTTTAATATTTATTATTTTTGGTTGATGGTTAATGGTTAATGGTTTTTGGTTAAATTAAAGATAACAATAAAAAGCTCCGAAATCTTTGTGCAAACATGGTACAATTGCCTGAAGCTCTAGCTGTGATTATTTTTTTCTAGTGTAAACTCCACTCGGTACTCTCGGCTTGGACTGTTGCTCAAGCGTAATGGGGTTAAAAGTGAGCTGAAGCGAATAAGACCAAAAAGCATAAAATACAAAACTGGGCTTAGGTAGATAAGAGCTCTTTGGCTTAGTTCAAGTTTTAGTTACTGACCATGACTCATAACTAAATTTGCAAATCACTAATTACCAGAAGTGAGGTAATATACTTTTTTAAATATAAGATAGGCGACCAACAGCCCTCTCCTTCAAGTCCAATTATTGCTGTATATACAAATTTTAGATGCGATTATTTTTTAAAATGTTAGGGTATGTAAAAAAAATTTATTTTATTTGTATTAATTTTAACCCGAATTTTAAATAACAAATACACCGATTTGTTTTAGCAGCCCCAAAAACCGGTAAATAACACAGAGGTAAAGTGAGTCACTCACTGATTTGTTTACTTGCTTGTAGGTGCTTGCATTAGTGTTTAAAAAGAAGGTGTGTGTGCCTGCCAAAAAGTCGCAAAAGAACGCAACGATGACATCAACAATTTCAATTTGGCAACTAAAACCCATGCCAATTTGTACGTGTGATAAGTGCGGAAAGTACGCCGCAAATGAAGAAACGGCACGACGTAAACTTGAGAAATTGTGCAAATAGTAGGCACATAAGGTAGAGCGAAAACAAATGTATATTTGATCACATATGGGACGTTCCATGTCAACCCGGCCACCCCACTTTTTTATTTTTTTTGTATGTGGACAGTACCACATTGATTGCAAAGCCACTTGCTTCCAATAGTTTACCTCATACCTATTTTGTCAATGTTACCACTCTTTCGCCGTATAATCGCGTTGAAAAGAAAACACAAAATCATTTTTATCCTACGAACGGAAGAAACAATTGGCATGGTTCAAAAGCAGAAAAATTTGTCTTTCCATAGCCGATTACGAAAAAAAATAGATTTTATTGGACCGTAGATGACCAAGCGATAGCGTTTTAAAGTCTAAAAGTAGGATTTCGTCCAAAGGGCCAGTCTGCAAAAATACCATTATATTTTTCTCAGAAAGCCCCATATTTAACGGATTTTATGCCACTGATTTCATAGTGGGATCTCTCTTGAGGAATTAGCTATGAATTCTTTTCTACGTTTTTTTAGTAGTTAACTGTCAGAAAAAGCTAATAAGTAACATAAAATAATCGAATATGCTTTGGAAAAAATTAACAAATCAATGAAAAGTAATCATAGCTAATTCCTCCAGAGAGATCCCATTTTAAAACCAGTGGCATAAAATCCGTTAAATATGGGGCTTTCTGAAAAAAATATAATGGTATTTTTGCAGACTGGCCCTTTGGACGAAATCCTACTTTTAGACTTTAAAAACGCTATCGCTTGGTCATCTACGGTCCAATAAAATCTTTTTTTTTTTCTCGTAATCGGCTATGGAAAGACAGATTTTTCTGCTTTTGAACCATGCCAATTGTTTCTTCCGCTCGCAGAATAAAAATGATTTTGTGTTTTCTTTTCAACGCGATTATACAGCGAAAGAGTGGTAACATTGACAAAATAGGTATGAGGTAAACTATTGGAAGCAAGTGGCTTTGCAATCAATGTGGTACTGTCCACATACAAAAAAAAGAAAAAAGTGGGGTGGCCGGGTTGACATGGAACGTCCCATATATCAAGTTCAACAGATGTTGTAAATTTGCATGAATACGGCAGATGACGAGCTAAACATGAAATCAAAATCTGTCAAGAAAACTCATAAAGTCCCAAGTAAAGAAGGTCTAGTTAAAAAAAAAGCCTGTGACACAAATTCTGCTTGCAACAAAAAAAAAGTTTCTTTAAATCAATTACTAAAGCTCTAAACATCGGTATTGATCTAACCTAAAATTTTCTCTTTAAATTTTGATATTTTAAATTTATTTATAAAAAAAAAACACACACAAAAAAAATAACGGTTTTTTTAAGTTTACTGGGCGCATGGTTCGACTTTATAACCAACAATTTCGTATTTAAGGTCTCTGTCGCCACTCATTTTCAGAATTTGATATTCGACATGGCTCGTTAAAAATCCAAAAGAGGATTGAGTAAGGATTTGGAAAGGCAGATAGCCACTGTACCCAAAAACGGAATGAAATTAACAACCGCCAACTGTTTTTGGCCAAACGCACGCTCACAAATACGCACCAAACATAATAACAGTAGAAAATAACAATCAATAAGGTACGCATTAGTGATACAGTCTAGGGAAATTAAATATGATGTTTTTTCAAAATCAAATGTAATAATATTTTTAGGGAAAACCACATTACAACATTTTTTTAATGGTTTTTTTCAATAAAACCATTTCAAATATATTATAAATATAAAAAAAAGTATTTATTTTTTTCCAACTGGGAACTTAATTTCTTTAGGAGTAAAGTTCATTGCAGGGAAAATAATTATAAATACAAAGCCAAATAAAGCGAGAAAGAAGTCTCGAGCATGTGTGCGTAATGTTATTAGTGTAGATGTGGGGACGAGCGCTTCTTGGGGCTTTGTAATTTCTATTTTTAAACTAGCGAAAAATGTTGACAAATCCGAAAGAAAATGGAGAGGCACAAAACAGACAAATTGTGTGAGTCAGTCAGTCGTGCCCTCTTTTATTTTAAGTGATATCATTTTTAACGCATGTGAAAGAAATGAGGGGAGAGTTCGGTATGTGTAGTTAAGACTCAAGGATAGTTAGTGACTCTACGGCCTAAACGTATCGTTAAAAGCAGCATGCAGATTAATTTGTGTTAAGTTAGAAATATTATTTGTTTGCGTGTAAAATACTAAGGTTTTTTTAAAAAATCATTTTCCCTAACGTAAATATTTTATTCACTTTTTAAATTCAATTTTATTAAATCCCCTCTCTCAGGTTTTGCCGGAGTACTGCCGTGCTACTTATAATGTGCAAATAATATTAAAATGGATTGGCAAGCAGAAAGAGGGGCAAACTGTAGCACATGCAACCGCAAAGGAACACGCAACACGTTGTCGGTTCGTAGGTGCATCTAACACACATATGTGAAGTGGATCTTTCTGCAGCTGCTGGCTTTGTTCGCTATTGTACATCATAACTCTCTCATGGCACTTAATAGAAATACAGGGATGATTAAGAAATAGAAACAAAGCTTAGCGCAAATATTGGGTATTTATATTGTATTGTACGTAGTGTATATTGAATAGCACCCGATTTATGAGTTAACCGACTTCTGTGACTTCCTCTTATTCTTTTTTTTAACAAGT